GTTATTTTGTGCAAAGGGCAGCAGTGATTAGCAGTTTGACATGCCAGACACTTCTGGCCAATCCCATCTGTTTCAGAGGTTAAAAAAGCACACCTTTATGAGCTGATGGATTGATTTGTGTGCCTGTCTGGTAAAGATTAGAAGTCCAAGGCCAATGCAGTAAATGTCAGTTATAGAATATTGTCCTTTCTTTGTTGGCTCATTGTTTTAACCGCCAACTGTTTTATAATGGGAGATACTTGCTGTTTATGGAGTCCAATGCAAGATGGGGTGAGGGAACAGGTGAAAGAGTAATAAAAATATTTCCTAGATGGGACTGTGAATTAATATATACTGTAGCAGGTGTTTTTCAGTGGAGATATGGCCTACTCTACATACACTTGATTTTCTGGTACCTCTTTTTCAGACCAATGGATAGTTTACTTCCATACCGTCACAGATATTTAAAAAATGTAATATTTTTTCATTGACCTCCTGGGGAAGAGGGAAGAGAAAAGAGAAAATAGAGACATAACACACACACACATACTTGCTTTGTGGATAGGATTTACTATGTATGCTCACCTGAAATCGATGCATTGCGTTAAAATGAAGTATGCCTAAACCTAGACTTGGACTTCTTTAACTTTGAGTGCTGTAAGAGTGATGCCATTCATATAGTTTATTTTCAGTTCAAAGTTGTAGCCCATTTAAAGATACACAAAGGCTGGATTGTGGTTACACAAATTGGCTTTAATGTATCCAAGGAAAGGAAAATCCTGATTTTATATGGATGAAATAGAATTTTAGATATTGTGATCATAATCAGCTTTGGAAACATAAGCATTCAGTCTTTTGGGTAGACAGAGGAAAGTGCTTGAGAAATAACAAAAAATTGTCTTTGTCATAAAATTATCATTACCCTATGATTGAGTTCAAATAAAAATATAACCCGAAACACTAGACAGTATTAGAAGATTCTGATTGGCCCCTATATTTTATCTTTATCAAAGTACGTGAACCATGAATTGCCTATTACATAGTTTTAACCCTTAAACGATGTTGGGGTTAGGGGTGCCAACCCCCAAATAGTTGAAAATCTGTATATAATTTTTGACTCCCTCAAAACATATGTTGTTTCTTGTTTTTGGAGAGAGATTGGTTCCAGGACCCCCATGAATCCCCAAATCCACGGATGTTCAAATCCCTTATATAAAATGGTGTAGAACAATGCATATAGTCAGCCCTCCACATCATCAGATTCCAAACTGAGGGTCAAAAACAGCACAGGTGTTTACTGAAATCCACGTTTACATGGACGTGTGCGGTTCAAACCCCAGTTGTTCAAAGGTCAGCTGTATATATATTTTGTTAGACCCTGAATTACTTCTCATAGAAAGAAAATTAAAATATCTAAAGATATAGTCACTGAAAGTTACATATGGATCATAATAGTAACTGATACTTTTTAAAATATATGTATGTATTTATTTTACTACTAAGCTATTCCAGAATGAATTGGCTTAAGTTACTGAAAGAAATTGAGATATTTTATTTCTCATTTAGAAAGGACAAAGCGACAGCATGGTATTGGAGTTTATTTAGCAATATAGTACTTAAATAAATATGAATTCATCCTTGTGTTCTTTGTGGAGTAACATCAATTGAAACGATTTGAGTCTAATACAGATTTACATAAAAAAATGTCTTGCCCTTCTATGAAAGGAGAAAAGGTTAGAAGCATAAATTCATTAAATCATCTTTAAATTGCAAAGGATTGGCTTGAGTAGTATAAAAGTACGTACGTGGGTAGTAAATTAAATGTGGGAGATTTATCTAATTTAATTGACATACTTCTTAAATGAATTTCCTGGCGATGTTATAATAAACCTAAAATAAATATTTGACTTTCTACCTTTGTGCTAATATAAACAGTTTCTTTCTCTTTTCTCTGGTAAACTCAAGTTCCGGTAATACCTAGTGTATGTTAAAATTTTACTAAACTAAGGGGAAATATTTTGTATAGTTAACTTGTTTTGCATGTTTTGATATATTCTGAGGCTTTAATATACATTGTCCTTTGTAATCTGTGGTAGTCAATTTCTGTCAGTATAGTGTATTTTCTTTTACTAATGTGATGGTAATAGCTTTGAGACATGTAAACTCTGCTCCTCTTAGCAAGTTAGTTGAACGTAGGCTTGTTTAGGGGGAAAAAAATGAAAGCAGGAACTGTTAATATATTGATACTTCTCAATTTATGATGGAGTTACGTCCTGATATACTTATTGTAAGTTGAAAATATCATAAATCAAAGTATATTTAATACATATAAGCTACTGAACATCAAAGCCTTGCCTAGACTACCTTAAATGTGCTTAGAACAATTTATATTTGCCTACAGTTGGGCAATTATCTTGGGTTTCATCTCAAAAATAATCACGTTTCTCTTCTCACCAGAAGCAGGAATCACCAATGTGCATTTTGTAGACTCGATGAGTTGCAAAAACACAAAACATAATATCCCCAAAACGCTGGCAACACAGTACATTGTAGAGTATTGGTTGTTTATCCTTGTGATCACATGGCTGACTAAAAGCTACAGCCCGCTGCCACTGCCCAGTGTCACGAGAGTGTTGTATGGCATATTGCTAGATCTGGGAAAGATTAAAATTCAAAATTTGAAGTACTGTTCGCATTGAATGCATATTGCTTTTGCATACGCACCGTAAATTGAACCATTGGAAGTCAGGGATTATCTGTACTTAGAATCTTGTGTTTGCAGTTCTTGTCCTAAATTTTTTTATGGCTTTGTAACCTGAATTTTAGTTGTTAGAAATTTTTATGAGACACTGGAAAATATAATAGCCCTATTTCATGTTTTGATTTTAAATGTTGTTAGGGTATAGAATTGTCCTTTGCCTCTATTCAGGCAAATTAATTTTAGTAAGGAAGCCATAATATGTGATGAATATATTCAAATATATATTCTTAGTATATTTTATAAGTATATTTATAAAATCAATGTGTATATATTTGATATATTTCAAATAGAGATGTCTGCACCTGTTGATTGCAATAAGCATTTGGTATCTCCTAATGAGAGAGGGAGAATGTGCTACCACAGTCTTAAGTAGATCATTTCTCCTCGGTAAATTGCATACATTTTACTTTTTTATATTCTGTGACCTTGCAGTCAAGTGACTTCAGCCCAGAATAGTTTCAAAGTCATGTAAATGAATGCAATTAAGGTATTGCTTATCATCTTACATAGTTCAGATGGAACCTTATTGGATAGAGAGGTTTGTTTGCTTTATGAGGAAGGTCAGAATAAGGTTAAATTTTATTACATAAACTGATTTGGTAATGTTTTTATTTAGCCGCTGAAAAATTAGTGTCCTAATAGGAAATGATAATGCTTTTATTTTTTTAATTACTAGGAGGTTTCTTCAGTTATAATAGTAATAATTCTATTTTAAGGCAGTGCCTTCTGTCTACTTTTTGGAAACATTTTGCCCTTCGTTATGATTCTAGGTATCTTTGACTTACGCATATAGGTGACATTCCCTGCTTCTGATGGAGGGTAGCATAGGAGCTGCTGATGTATGTGCTTAGTGGATTTGTTCTAATGTTCATTTATCATACCAGTTGGTGCAGGACCTTGGACAACAGGATTAAAGTCCCAATTCATACCTGAAAGGAGACCTGCCACCCAGCTCAGCTGGTTGTCTGTAGGGGTTGGGGGAGCATTGACATAGATACTAGAAGAGTCTTGCTGATGATGAATGGGTGAGAGAGGGAGGGAGGGAAAAACGGAAGGAGGGTGTATGGGAGAATGAAGTAATAAAAGAAAGGCAAGTATTCTTTGTTGTAGTTGGACCATATAACTTTCTTTCCTTTTATGGTATTATTTTTATTTTGGCATGATGTATTAATTGATAAAGTCTCTAAGACTCACTGATTCATTGAGCAGACATTTACTGAGCATTAACTCTATAGCTTGCACCATGCCAGGTATTGGGAGATTCAAAGATGGATGATAAATTTACAAGATGCAGAGACAGTGACCTAGAGGAACAGTGGTTAAAGAGCCTCTTTGCTAGAATGTTGAAGAAACATCACTAAAAGACATTTTTGGTACCTGTGTATGGTTTTAAGGAGACTGAAAGGCACTGGTAAAGTGAAATAATAATGAAAAATAACTACTTTAATTTGAGAAGTTAAAGTTCAGGTTTATGAAATTATTTTTGGGGCTAAGCTATCATCCATGAGAACAGGTCGTAGGGTATAGGATAGGAGTCGAGAATTCTAGAAATGTAAACCAGGTATGAGTGCAGTGGCTGATGCAAATGGAATGTTGCAAACGGAATGTTCAGTAGAGTGGAATCAGGGAGTTTACATCATGTCTTATTACTGGCTGGCTTCACTGTCTGTCCATTGGCCTCTTGATCAATATAAAGTTTCCTCAACCACCACAATATTAAAATGTAGGCTATGTCTCTTTCTGGCCCCGAACTATTTCATTTTTATTCCTGAAAGTATAAACTTTCCCACAAGTTGATGTCACTGTGTATCTAGGACGGTTCTAATTCTGACTAACATTTTTTTGTTTCTCGTGGTCTAGGAAAAAACAAAACAAAACTAGGCGTTTCAAACTCTGTTGACTACCAAATAATTTTAATACTTTTCTCTCAGAATTCTGGATAAAAATTCCTCTTCATCATTGACATTAACTTTTCACATCCCTGAAAATAACTGATAGTGTTTACATAGTATACAAACAGACAGGTAGTGTATTTTGGTAAACAATTTTATAATGTAGATGTCGTCATCAGATGTCAACAGCTGTGCCCAAGGAATACATATATAATTAAGAATATTTTTTATATTGCAATACATCTTTTTTGTTGTCTTTCGAGATAGTTTATTTTAGTCAGTAGTTCAGATTTTGTTGTAAAACGTGCTGTTGAAATTTTTTCAGATAAAATGCACTTGAAGTAACACTTATTTCTCTTAATTTTCAGGGAGTGTTTGGATTGTGAGCTATTTAAGAACTCTGTTCTCAGGACCCATTATTTTAACATGTGGGAGAAATACATCCAGAAGGTATTGTATTTTGTCTTATTGCTCCTTTTTTATTTTTTTATTTTTTTTGTAAATGTAGTTAAGCTTTTCCAGTTATAGGAAAGAAAGAATATTATGCCATATTTTGTTATTTATTTTTCTTTAAGTTTCAGATATTGATAAACTAGTTGTTTGACATTTATAACAGGAGAGGGATACTTTTCAGTGTTGGTAAATTCTGAATTTAATGTAAGTAAAAGAAATCTGATTTAGATGTAACCAATTTTGCCTATTTTAAACATCTGAAGTATTTACATTTTACCTTTTCAGTACAGAACTATTTAAAAGAATATTTTAATTCAAAAATGAAATTTAAAAGGTTCCTGTTTATTTAAGATAGTGTGAAATATACATTAAATAATTAGGCAGTCTTAAAGTCCTTTCTGCCTACGACAGATCTACTTTCTAGTATAAGGATCAGCTGCCACCTGTATTTCAACATCAGACTTTCATCAGGATCCATGGACATATTCAGCCATGTCACCTGACTCTGCCTCTGATCATCTGTTTACTAAATTCCCTATCAGTATTATCACATGTGGTTAAATTGATGTAGTAATAATAAATCATCTACTTGCTGTCCCTGAGTCTCAGGACATGTGATATATTACTAGGAAGGAAGGATAGTAGGATCATCAGTTGAGAAACTTACTTGCTTTGTGTTCTGTCCTTGCATCCTCAAGACTCCATGTGGATATACTAGCGATTTGGCTAGTCAGTGGTGAACACAGTTCCCTTCAGCCATATCCATTGTTTCCTTTGAAGTGCCCACCTGTATACCTCCCCTAAGACTTTTGTGTTTTCCTTTTAAAAAAACTTGCCAGCTCTCTTGTTTAGAATAGAAACAGATGAAGAAAGGACACATAAATACATTTAATAATATATTTGTTAAAGTTGTAGTGAATAGGTCAACTTCTTTTAATACATATTATTTACTGGATATTCATGATTTATTTGTATTTGCCTGAAATAACACAAAAATCAGTTTTACAAATTTTCTTAATCCCTTGTTAAGCAGTATGAACTGGATGAATATAGTCTTTTATGTTTCCATAGCATATTTTATTGAACTAGTAAAGTAGAAACTATGTCATGATTATTCACTATTGACAAAGCAGCATTTTTTCCTTCATTTATGAGAAGGAGGGTAAAAACAAGTAAGACATTTAAATAAGCATATTGGATTGTAAAAGAACTTGTAAATGAACCCCAAATATTTAATTTTTACTGTATATACTTTATCAATGAAAGAAATATGATCAGAAACTGGATTTTGTGGGAATTAAGGTTATCTTTTTAAATTGAAGATAAGAATTAACTATTACAATTAAATATTTGAAGATATAAACATTCAAATAGTTATACTTGTTATAAAGAGGATTGTTATGCTTGTAAAGTCATTAGGAATTATCCATTTATGAAAGTTATGTAGTCACAAAATTAAGAGTAGGTTTGAATAACGTTGAACTGGTTACTGTTTTTTATTATAAAGAAATTGCAAAGAAGTTAAGTTTTGATGCAAGGTTAAGTAGACAAATTCTCATGTAACTTCAGAATAGGAATTGGTTTTAAGTAATTCTTTTGCAAATAACTCATGTTAGGCCCTTTTTAAAAAAATGTTACTTATTTTCTCAAAACATTTTACTGAAGTATAGCTTCATATAGTCAAATAGACAGTCTTACTTGCTAGTTTAATGATTTTTTTACATAAGCATACTCTGTGTAAGTATACTGTACCCCAGAAGGCTGTCTTTCCTAGTCGGTACTCCCTCCACACAACAGAAACTCGTCTTTGGTGTATTTAGCATACATTAGTTTTGGCTATTTTTGAAACTTTATACATTTGAAATCATGAGTTATGAACTCGTGTGAATTTTTTGAACATTATGTCTGTGAAAGTCATTCATGTTTGTACCATTTGTGTTGTCTCCTCGCCCCCCCAAATCTATATTTCATTGTGTGGTTATACCACCATTTATCCCTTCTACTATAAATGGACATTGAATATCTTTACAATTTGGGTTTACAGATAAGGCTGCTCTGAACTTATTTGTATTTTTTGGTAGAAATAAGCATTCATATCTGATAGGTATTTATGCACAGGAATAGAACTACTGAATTCTGATATATGTATATGTCTAATATAATAGAGACTTGGAATGCTTTTAAGGATGTTTAGGAAATGGCCATCAGCATATCTTTTATTAATGATAGATCTTAATATGGACTTATTTTTCACAAACTTTATATAAACTCTAAAGTTGTTTTTTAAGAGTTATAAATTTTTCCTCTTAAAGATAAGTTGCTTATTTTCTGATTCAGTTGTGACAGACTTGATTTATGAAACTTAAATCAGTCCTAACCCTAGTGAAGGAAAATATTTATAACTTTGAAAATACTGAAAATGGATTTCGAAACAAATTAGACATTTTATATGATGATTTTTATTGTTCAACTTTGGATACCTCTTTGAATATCTAAATTAATAGATATACTTGAGTTAAAAAAACTTCAACATTTCTGATGACTGTTTCTTGCTACCTTTGTGTTTGTGTTAATCTATTTGGTGTTTTAAAGTGAAATTATTCATTCTAGAACATAAGTACTTGAAAATTTTTATATTAATCTTTTTCTCAGTGTTTACTATAGAATAGTGCTTTTTAGTAGAATTGTAATGTGAGCTGCATATAAAATTACAAGTTTTCTAGTAGGCACATTAAAAAAGGAAAAAGAAACTGGTAAAATTAATCAGTATTTTATTTAACCCAATATCTGCCAAACTCTGTCATTTCATTGCATAATTAATATGAAATTATATGATATTTTACATTCACTTTTCATATTAAAGTTTTTGAAGTTCAGTGGATATTTTCACATACAGCACATCTCAATTCAAACAAGTCACATTTTAATATTCTATATTAGATGTTTCTAGTGGCTACTCTGTTAGACAAACACAGCTGTGGAGTTACATCTTAGATTTTTTAAAGACTGTTCTTTAGTTAAATTTTATTGAGTTAAAATTATCTTTAAAAACCCAGTAGAAAGATGCCATGTCAGGTGCTAATATAATATTTTTACTAGATCCCAATCAGCCTGTTTTCCTTTCATCATTAGTATAAATAAAATTTTCTTTGGTTGAACATGAGATAAAGCAATTAGCCAGTGTTTAGGGGGCATGTTGTATGAAAAATACATATCTTTATACTGTAAGATCAAAATCAAAATCTGTAACAACAGATTCATACCTTCCATCTTACTCTAAGTTATATGCTTGATAGGATTTTACTCTTTTAAGGCATGACTGCTTTAATTTGTGATAAATCATATGGTATAATTCTACTAAATAAAATAGGGCAGTTAAACAGAACAGTTTGAATGTATACATATATAGATATATCTATGATTTTTCATTAATTAAGATATTTAAAGGCTACCTAGATTTTGAGGGTTAATATTTCTTCATGTATGTATTTGCCAAGTAGGATAAATCAAGAACTATAAGGTATCTTGTGTGAATCTGGGTCACATTTTGTTACTGAATTGGTTTCCTTTAAGCCAGATGTTCAGAATTTGGAAAATGGATAAGGGACTAATTATTGAGCTGTGAAAATGATCACATATATGGAGTTGTCTTGAGGGGTAAGGTCCCTTGATTAATACCTGCCATAATTGCACATGTTAGCTATTATTTTGGGTTCTAGATCTGAGGTAGTTTTATAGCCCTATCCACCAGCACATTTTTTTTTATAGTACTATCTTTTTCCTTTAAATGAAATCAACTATTATTTTTTGACACCCAATTCTAATAATATTATCTTATTAGCTATTTAAAAAAAAAAAGAAAGAAAAAATTATTTCTCTGCTTAAAAACCTTCATCTCAATTGCAGTAAAACTAAAGTCTTTGCATTGTTGTTAAGACCTGTCTTCTCAGTTAGGACTATAGAAGCCTCCTTTATTTCCTCTCTTCTCATTTCTTTTCCCACAACACTTATCACCTTTAAAAATACCTAAATGAAAACTCCATGAAGTCAGGGATTTTCTTCTGTTGTGTTCATTACTGATATAGTGGAAAGAACCTAGAATAATGCTGGGCATCAGTTGGTACCGCCACTATGGAAAACAGTATGGAAGTTCCTCAAAAAATTAAAAGTAGAACTAAGACATAGAAACAGCCCACATATCCATCAATATATGCATGGATAAGGAAAATGTGATATGTGCATACAATCGAGTATTATTCAACCTTTAAAAAGAAGGAAATCCTGCCATTGTGACAACAGGGATGAACCTAGAGGACATTATTCTAAGTGAAATAAGCCTAACACATCAAAGAACAAATACTGCATGATCAACTTGCATGAGGAATCTAAAATAGTGAAACTCATAGAAGCAGAGAGTAGAATGGTGGTTACCAGAAACTGGGGGAGGGAGGAAACAGGGAGTTGTTGCTCAAAAGGCACAAACTTTCAGTTATGCAAGATGAATGCAGATCTCCTGTACAGCATGATACATATAGTTAGTAGTACTGTAAATTAAACATAAAAATTTGCTAAAAGGTAGATCTTATGTTAAATGTTCTTATCACACACAAAAATATAGATGGGAGGAAACTTGAAGGTAATGGATATGTTTATGGCTTTAACTGTGGTGATGGTTTTGCAAGTGTATATTTATCTCCAGAGTCATCAAGTTGCATACAAATATGTACAGCTTTTTGTATATCAGTTATGCCTTAATAAAGTGTTTTTTTTTTAAAAAAATGCTGGACATATAGAAGGAGCTTGTAAGTATTTATTGACTAAATATTTATTGAATACATAGAGAAGATAAACTCTTTTTAACCCCTGAAAATTTGCCTTTATGAATTTTCTAGGGTAGGGAATATTTAAAGCAAGAGAAAACAAATATTCAGTTGATGTATAATAATACATTTTGATAAATTGAATTGGTTTGAACTGGTTTTTTGCCTTTTAGTTTT